TGCTTATTCAAATACAGCGGCTGCCATGGGGCTGTTTATTCAAATACCGCGGCTGCCATGGTGCTGCTTATTCAAATACCGCGGCTGCTATGGAGCTGCTTATTCAAATACCCCGGCTGCTATGGAACTGCTTATTGAAATACCGCCGCTGCCATGGTGCTGCTTATTCAAATACCGCCGCTGCCATGTAGGCGCCGCTGCGTTTATTCAAACAAATCACGTTGCCATGGTGCTGTTTATTCAAATGTATCACGCTGCTAAGTGAGCCGTTTTATCAAATACCGGGCTGCTGGGCTGCTTATTCAAATACCGCGGCTGCCATGGTGCTGCTTATTCAAATACCGCGGCTGCCATGGTGCTGCTTATTCAAATACCGCGGCTGCCATGGTGCTGCTTATTCAAATACCGCGGCTGCAATGGTGCTGCTTATTCAAATACCGCGGCTGCCATGGTGCTGCTTATTCAAATACCGCGGCTGCAATGGTGCTGCTTATTCAAATACCGCGGCTGCTATGGTGCTGCTTATTCAAATACCGCGGCTGCCATGGTGCTGCTTATTCAAATACCGCGGCTGCTATGGGGCTGTTTATTCAAATACCGCGGCTGCCATGGTGCTGCTTATTCAAATACCGCGGCTGTCGCCACCGTAACGCGTGCTGTTTATTCAAATACCGCTGCTGCTATGAAGTTGCCGTTATTTAAACAGTCATGCCGTTATGGTGCTGCTTATTCAAATACCGCGGCTGCTATGGTGCTGCTAATTCAAATACCTCGGCTGCTATGGGGCTGCTTATTCAAATACCGCGGCTGGTATGGTGCTGCTTATTCAAATACCGCGGCTGCCATGGTGCTGCTTATTCAAATACCGCGGCTGCCATGGTGCTGCTTATTCAAATACCGCGGCTGCCATGCTGCTGCTTATTCAAATACCGCGGCTGCCATGGTGCTGCTTATTCAAATACCGCGGCTGCTATGGTGCTGCTTATTCAAATACCGCGGCTGCCATGGTGCTGCTTATTCAAATACCGCGGCTGCCATGGTGCTGCTTATTCAAATACCGCGGCTGCCATGGTGCTGCTTATTTAAATACCGCGGCTGCCATGGTGCTGCTTATTCAAATACCGCGGCTGCCATGGTGCTGCTTATTCAAATACCGCGGCTGCCATGGTGCTGCTTATTCAAATACCGCGGCTGCCATGGTGCTGCTTATTCAAATACCGCGGCTGCTATGGAGCTGCTTATTCAAATACCGCGGCTGCCATGGTGCTGCTTATTCAAATACCGCGGGAGCCATGGTGCTGCTTATTCAAATACTGAGGCTGCCATGGAGCTGCTTATTCAAATACCGAGGCTGCCATGGTGCTGCTTATTCAAATTCCGCGGCTGCTATGGTGCTGCTTATTCAAATACCGCGGCTGCTATGGTTCTGCTTATTCAAATACCGCGGCTTCCATGGTGCTGCTTATTGAAATACCGCGGCTGCTATGGTGCTGCTTATTGAAATACCGCGGCTGCCATGGTGCTGCTTATTCAAATACCGCGGCTGCTATGGTGCTGCTTATTCAAATACCGCGGCTGCTATGGAGCTGCTTATTCAAATAACGCGGTTGCTATGGTGCTGCTTATTCAAATACCGCGGCTGCTATGGTGCTGCTTATTCAAATACCGCGGCTGCTATGGTGCTGCTTATTTAAATACCGCGGCTGCTATGGTGCTGCTTATTCAAATACCGCGGCTGCTATGGTGCTGCTTATTCAAATACCGCGGCTGCTATGGTGCTGCTTATTTAAATACCGCGGTTGCTATGGTGCTGCTTATTCAAATACCGCGGCTGCTATGGAGCTGCTTATTCAAATACCGCGGCTGTCATGGTGCTGCTTATTCAAATACCGCGGCTGCCATGGTGCTGCTTATTCAAATACCGCGGCCGCTATGGTGCTGCTTATTCAAATACCGCGGCTGCTATGGTGCTGCTTATTCAAATACCGCGGCTGCCATGGAGCTGCTTATTCAAATACCGCGGCTGCCATGGAGCTGCTTATTCAAATACCGCGGCTGCCATGGTGCTGCTTATTCAAATACCGCGGCTGAAATGGTGCTGCTTATTCAAATACCGCGGCTGCCATGGAGCTGCTTATTCAAATAACGCGGTTGCTATGGTGCTGCTTATTCAAATACCGCGGCTACTATGGTGCTGCTTATTCAAATACCGCGGCTGCCATGGAGCTGCTTATTCAAATACCGCGGCTGCCATGGAGCTGCTTATTCAAATACCGCTGCTGCCATGGTGCTGCTTATTCAAATACCGCGGCTGCCATGGTGCTGCTTATTCAAATACCGCGGCTGCTATGGTGCTGCTTATTCAAATACCGCGGCTGCTATGGTGCTGCTTATTCAAATACCTCGGCTCCTGCGAGGCTGCTTATTCAAATACCGTGGCTGCTATGGAGCTGCTTATTCAAATACCGCGGCTGCTATGGGGCTGCTTATTCAAATACCGCGGCTGCTATGGTGCTGCTTATTCAAATACCGCGGCTGCCATGGAGCTGCTTATTCAAATACCGCGGCTGCCATGGAGCTGCTTATTCAAATACCGCGGCTTCCATGGAGCTGCTTATTGAAATACCGCGGCTGCTATGGTGCTGCTTATTCAAATACCGCGGTTGCCATGGTGCTGCTTATTCAAATACCGCTGCCGCTGGCGGGAGCTGTTATCAAATGTCATGCTGCTGGTGCTGCTTATTCAAATACCGCGGCTGCTATGGTGCTGCTTATTCAAATACCGCCGCTGCCATGGTGCTGCTTATTCAAATACCGCGGCTGCTATGGTGCTGCTTATTCAAATACCGCGGCTGCTATGGTGCTGCTTATTCAAATACCGCGGCTGCTATGGTGCTGCTTATTCAAATACCGCGGCTGCTATGGTGCTGCTTATTCAAATACCGCGGCTGCTATGGAGCTGCTTATTCAAATACCTTGGCTGCTATGGAGCTGCTTATTCAAATACCTTGGCTGCTATGGGGCTGCTTATTCAAATACCGCGGCTGCTATGGTGCTGCTTATTCAATACCGCGGCTGCTATGTGCTGCTTATTCAAATACCGAGGCTGCTATGGGGCTGCTTATTAAAATACCGCGGCTGCCATGGTGCTGCTTATTCAAATACCGCGGCTGCTATGGTGCTGCTTATTCAAATACCGCGGCTGCCATGGTGCTGCTTATTCAAATACAGTGGCTTCCATGGTGCTGCTTATTGAAATAACGAGGCTGCTATGGTGCTGCTTATTCAAATACAGCGGCTGCCATGGAGCTGCTTATTCAAATACCTCGGCTGCTATGGGGCTGCTTATTCAATTACCGCGGCTGCTATGGGGCTGCTTATTCAAATACCGCGGCTGCTATGGTGCTGCTTATTCAAATACCGCGGCTGCAATGGTGCTGCTTATTCAAATACCGCGGCTGCTATGGTGCTGCTTATTCAAATACCGCGGCTGCCATGAGGTGTTACGCTTATTCAAATACAGCGGTACGCGTGGAGAAACGCTTGATGAAATACGCGGCTGCCATGGTGCTGCTTGTTCAAATACCGCGGCTGCCATGGCAATTTGCCCGCTGAAAGCGAAGTGCCCTTCGCCACTTGTGCCTGGAAGGACTGCTTGCCAGCCTCGCCCTGTGACTATGGCCTGGGATGTATTGCCCTTTAAAAAGACATGATTTGGGCGCAATAATGGTTGTGTTGTTGTGCTTTGCTGCTGGCCCTTTAAGAACCATCTGGGGACATACTGTGGCAGGTTACTGGGTGGCCACCATTTCCGCAATATCAGAAGCACATGGTGAGAACAATGGATGGCCATTTAACTCACGAACACTGTTTGGACTTTTTCAACGGTGCCGTAAGCAGAGTATCTGTTTACTTTTAGAGACATGCGTGTAATTGGTTTTGGACTATACAGCAGGGGACACATTATACAGTGATTGTTTTTCATTTAGCCTGTATATATGTTCTGCAGAATCTGCATTAAACTGTATTTTCCAAAGTACTGAACGGATCTGGGTGAATTTTGGATATGTGGTTCACCCAGATCCCCCGGTTCCAAGGATATACTTTTTTATGGGGTTATTGCATGTTTTGGGGTCCCTGTGTGTTTTATGAAACTGTATTATATCTGGCCGGCAGATAATTGAGCTTTGTGTATTGTAGAAACTCAATTATCTAGCCTGGCCCAGAGGAGGAGTTTTGTGTTGCATAAATTGTGAGTTCTGTGTGCCAGTAAATCAGTCTTGTTCCAGCATTAAGCCTTGGCTCATGTTTGGGGGAAGGGATACCTACACTCTGGGGATTGCTATAATCACTTACTCCCCAGAGGAAGCTCTTGCAATAGCTTGATTTGTTCCTGTTCTTGCTCTCTGGGGAAAGAGAGGTTCACCCACTAGAAGCTGGATCCTGGCCTTGGGTCCAGGGTGGGTGGAGACAGCAGAGACCCCGGCGCAGTTGCATCGCTGGAAGTGGGGTCTGCAGTGCTGATGGTGTCGGTTGGAGTGCTTGGAGTCCTCAGCGAGCACTAGGAGCATCGATTGGCGGAGGTACTCAGTCGGAGTGCCAGCGTTCCGTCACAGTGCTGCTTATTCAAATACCGTGGCTGCTATTTTGCTGCTTATTCAAATACCGCGGCTGCCATGGTGCTGCTTATTCAAATACCGCTGCTGCCATGGTGCTGCTTATTCAAATACCGCGGCTGCCATGGTGCTGCTTATTCAAATACCGCGGCTGCTATGGTGCTGCTTATTCAAATACCGCGGCTGCTATGGTGCTGCTTATTCAAATACCTCGGCTCCTGCGAGGCTGCTTATTCAAATACCGTGGCTGCTATGGAGCTGCTTATTCAAATACCGCGGCTGCTATGGGGCTGCTTATTCAAATACCGCGGCTGCTATGGTGCTGCTTATTCAAATACCGCGGCTGCAATGGAGCTGCTTATTCAAATACCGCGGCTGCCATGGTGCTGCTTATTCAAATACCGCGGCTGCCAAGGTGCTGCTTATTCAAATACCGCGGCTGCCATGGTGCTGCTTATTCAAATACCGCGGCTGCTATGGTGCTGCTTATTCAAATACCGCGGCTGCCATGGTGCTGCTTATTCAAATACCGCGGCTGCCATGGTGCTGCTTATTCAAATACCGCGGCTGCTATGGTGCTGCTTATTCAAATACCGCGGCTGCTATGGTGCTGCTTATTCAAATACCGCGGCTGCTATGGTGCTGCTTATTCAAATACCGCGGCTGCTATGGTGCTGCTTATTCAAATACCGCGGCTGCTATGGTGCTGCTTATTCAAATACCGCGGCTGCTATGGTGCTGCTTATTCAAATACCGCGGCTGCTATGGTGCTGCTTATTCAAATACCGCGGCTGCTATGGTGCTGCTTATTTAAATACCGCGGTTGCTATGGTGCTGCTTATTCAAATACCGCGGCTGC